TGCCCACTAGAACACTGGAACTGTTCGTGGCTGCATGTGTGATTTGCACAAGACATTTCATCAGAGTTGTCTCCACAATCATCCTCGTAGTCGCAACGCCATTTCTTGTCGATGCAAAGACCATTAAGACACCTGCACGAAATGAAAGGTTAATAATTATTTATGATTAATATACAATTAATGAAAGTGGACGCACAAAATCCGTGAAACAAAAAATAACTAATTACTAATAAACAGTGTTGATTAGATAATAGAAAACAAAGGAAAAGAAATTTGGATACAACATTTAAAGAGAAAAATAAGCAATTTTTTGTCGGAAATATTTGCTATCGATATTTGGTAAAACAAGCTAGCATCGAATAATAAATACTGCACTAAATATAAACAATGAATTCAATTAAATACCGAAACTGCGAGGAGCTGCAAGTCCGTCGCATGCAGTTTAGACTGGATGCTTCATCAGAACCGTCTCCACAATCGTTGTCGCCGTCACACATGTAGGCCAGCGGTATACAACGAGAAGATTTAACGCATTTGAATTCTAATCCMGTRCAATTGCGTTTTGGACACGACGAAGTTTCATCAGATGAGTCGCCACAGTCATCATCACCATCACAGASAAATTGTTGMGAAATACARTTTCCTGTGSAAAACAAAGTTTTAATGATTACAGAAGGGTTCGTAGTCTTTTGAAAGTCAAAAAATTCATGTCTTTTACATGGTTTTCAATGAAGAAAATATAGAAAGCACACTTCATGTAAAATTCCAGCTCACGTAATGTATATGTGCCTTCAACTGACATTTATTAGCACAAGCTACATCTAAATATATTGCATTTGTTTTCAATTTGTACAAGAAATAGTAGTAATAATTATAATCATGGCAAACCAAAAAWTTTTTTAATGACTTTTCATGACACTCGACAAAATTCCATGTCTTTCCATGGTTGGAAAACTAAAATACGAAATTCCCTGACTTTCCAGGTTTTTTTCCAGGACAGGTACGAACAATGTCACATCCAAAATGTAACTATATACACTCGTGTTATCGCCTACAGAAGAATATACTCTCTCGTATAGGTTTTAAAGCTTGAAATAAATTCATGTTATATTATAAACTGTTGAAAACTGTGTCAGGAAKTCTTCATAACATCCAACAATCTCTGCGATCTACTTTGATACAAAACGTTCTTCCAGTATCTATTGTAATTTTTAGTTTTAGCCATCTCTCCGTTTTCCCTTCAGGAGAGAATCACATACGCATTCTCCAAGTCTGAAAAGTTYGAATGGTATTGACGTCATCTTACCATTTTTGCAGGTGAAGTAATTCGCTGCGCATGTCCKTTGCTCTGTCTGGCAACTGGACGGTTCATCGCTGTCATCAGAGCAGTCRCTCTCACCATCACACAGCCAATGACGTGGTATACATCGATTACTTCCGGTACACTGAAATTCATTTGGTGCGCATTTGTTCAAGGAGCAGACCGCTGGTCGTTCGTCCCAGTTATCACCGCAATCATTGTGACCATCGCATAGCCAGCTTTTGTCCACACAGATGCTTGTGGTGTTACACTGGAAATAATAAWTTGTGAATGGGAAATATGGAATAAGAAGGATGAAAAAATGGATGGCAAAGATAGAGTTCTCGAACTTAATCCGTGAAATTGTAGAAAATTAAAAATGAACAAACAGAAGAATAAATAAACGGATGAAAGAATAATTAAACTATCAAATGAATAAATGAATGAGATCAATTAATGCAAAAAATATTCTACGGTTCTATAACAACCTTTATTCTATCTGTCGGGCAGACAACATCCTTACACCCTTGCTCGTCGCTGAAATCTCCACAATCGTTGTTACCATCGCACATGTCCTCGTACAACTTACAAAGACCATTGTTACATCGRAATTCGTTCCCTGCACATTGTCTTGTAGGGCAACCCRCTTCATCGCTTCCATCACCACAGTCATCTCTGTAATCGCACTTCCAWTGAGTGTTAATACAYTGACCGTTTGCACACTGGAACTTTCCTGGCGCACAGGTMTTTGGAGGACAACCTTGTTCATCACTWCCATCACGGCAGTCGACCTCTGTGTCACATCGCCATTTCTTGTCGATACAGTGACCATGGTTGCATTTGAATTGATCGACACTACATTTTCTATTAGCTACACAAAAAAGGAACATTTACAGAGTCAAAAATGACGAANAATCGGAACTTTTAAATACGTATCATGAAGGGACAGCAATCTATTTTTATCATAGACAGCATCTTCCTCCACAGGTACCATTGGGGTTGAAATTCAACCATCACGGAAACTAGCAAAAGCACACTTCCAACCCTTCAGTTAGTGTTAGGGCTAGTTACTCACCCCCATTAAGGTCCATATTCCAAATGCTATCCCTGCGTAAGTCAACCCAGTAAACGATATCTTGGTCATAATCAATTGTGAGTCCAGATGGCCTTCTTATCTTTGATCCCCACACCAAGACTTGGCGGAAAGACCCATCCATAGACGACCTTTCAATGCGGGGTGGTGACCAGTCCGACCAGTACAGAAGTCCTCTTCCTGGATGAACTACGATCGATCGTGGCTCAGAAAGACCTGATGAGATGATCACGTGACGGCTGGACCCATTCAGCCGACTTACCTTGAATCACGTGGAGAAATAGAGGAAATTTTGAATGACTTTGCAAAGAAGAATCTCATGAATATTTAAAAGGTTGACTAACACTATTTCACAAATGTCTTTCCCCCATCCTTAAGGAACTCAAGAAATCTACTCAAGAGAAGTTTCTCATCAAACCTTTGCCTATCAAGCGCTTACCTCAATAAGGTCTGTCCCTGAGTCAGTCCAGTATAGGTTCATTCCAACCCAATCCACTGCGATCCCCTGTGGTCGTCTCAGCCCAGTGCTTATGATTATCATCTTCCTTGTGCCATCCCTATTAACTCGACCAATATTTCGTTTTCGGTCATCGCTATAAAAGATCCAGCTTGAGTTATAGAAAAAGTCGATGGAGTTGATGTTGCTCATTCCTGCAATAGGGTTCATAGCAGAAGTGCTATCCTTGAAGTCAATGGAAGTTCCGTAAATTGCTGAAAATAAAAGACCCACCTTTATGACTATCTTAAGATTAGACTTTCACGTCACATACTTGATTTGCAATGATTTGTGGGTTGGCTTTCCAAGAAATCCGCCATGTTTTGGCCCAAACAACGGTATATGTCGTAAGAGCTTCATCGGTTTATTATACTTTAGCCTGCATTGGATTTGCTTGTAATCCTACTTATTTCATCCAATTTAATAAAGCTAAGGTTCATTTGGTTAAAAACTCAGCCAAAAAGGATGCCAGTCAAAATGATTGCAAGATGGAGAACAAAGAGTAGTTCGTTCGCTTTCTACAACAAAATTTAATTTAATCCTCACATTATCCAAAGCCAGCCTAAACTTTTAGAGACCCATTTTTGAGAGAAACAAGGCACAACAGTTTACACAAAGCTAAGACAAAAACCGCTTTGCCAGAGTATTTGAGTGGACTTAACGAGGTGTTGGGACTATTTCTACCATTATGCTTTGGTGAAGGAAATGGCGTCACTGCACAATGTCTCGGTCATGTTGTTATCTTTTTATCATATCGCATAGTAAATCACAGCTCATGACTTTAGCAATGAAGCTGAAGCTTTTCACGTCACCTACGTACATTGTGGATCAGTTTCCGGAGAAAACAACAGGGAACAAAACTGAGACCAATCCTATTCCTCATCATGGTTAATGACTTAGCTCAAAGATCTCCCCTAAAAGCAAGTCATTGGAAATACGTGGATGATATCACATTGTCTGAAGTAGTCTCCAACAACACCCAAKCTGTATTGCAGACAGACCTCGACCACATCACAAGTTGGGCAAAGGAAAATTCCATGAATCTGAATCCAAAGAAATGTAAAGAGCTACGCATCTCTTTTCTTGCAAAAGATCCTGATGTAGACCAACTCATGGTTGAGGAAACTCACCTCGAAAGGGTTAAGTCACACAAAGTGCTGGGCGTCACTCTCTGTGACAATCTGAAATGGAATCTAAACATCGACGAGATTGTGACCAAAGCATCTAAACGACTTCACATTTTAAGGGTTCTAAAACGCGCAAAACTTCCAACACCTCACTTAACAAGTATATATTGTGCACTTATTCGTTCTGTTATGGAATACGCTTGCTCAGTCTGGAACAATGCTATCCAACTATATTTAGTTCAGCAATTGGAGAGAATACAAAGACGTGCAATGAAGATCATACTTCCTGGATTCCATTATTATTATTGTTATTATATCTTGTTCTTATATATATTATATATTTTTTAAAAATCTTTAATGTGAACATGTTGTAATTCACACTAGTGCTAAAACATGTATATGAATAAACCTTCTTTATTATTATTATAAAACAAAAGAAATCCGCCATGTTTTGTCCCAAACATATCCTACAATGCATTGCGTATACAGTATATAACGTAAAAGCTTCAGATTATTTCACGAGTAAACGAAAATCATTTTACCTTTCGACGTTGCATAAAGTAAGAAGGTGTTGATTGCATTGCAAGATTTTTGGTCCTTTCCAAGACTGAAACCCATAGAGCATGCGCACCGTCTAGAATTGGAGTTCTTCATGAGACAAAGCTGTTCACAACCTCCGTTATCTTGTTTACAAAGGTTAGTACCTTCAAAGATACAAACCACGTCATTAGAAACTTAACGCAGCCAAGGAAACTCTAGTTTCGAGGTCTTTCGGGATTAATGCCTTAGTCATGCGGACATCTCTTCACTAAAAATATTACGTAAAGGTTGATACAACTCGTGTAGCAAAAACTAACTCTACTGTCTTTTTAAGCAGAAGATGTTATAACAAATATTAAACTGCAAAAGATGTATTGATCGACAAACTGAAAAGTAATGACGTCAAGATAAAATATTCAGCCACAACATGAAAAACAGCAAAAAACAGAGCAAACACTGAATGAAAGTAACAAAAGAATAAAAGCAAATATAGAAAATTGAAGGAAAGCAGACAAAAGAAACAATAATTTGAAGAGCAATTCTTGAAACTAAACGAAACATATACTTACTTAAAAATAAACCACAAAAGACGCCTCACAGAGAAGAAAAATAAAATCAAAACGGAAGATTACAAAACAAAACAAAACAAAACAAAAACAAAACAAAACAAAACGGAACGAAACGAAATGAAGTAAAACAAAACGAAACAAAAAACAACAGACAATAATGTGACATACCAGTCTGTCTTCTTCTAGAGTATACTTCCACACAATAAACATATTGCAAGCCTTCTCTATGTACTTGAATATCTTCTTTTCTCCCACCAAATTTCGAACCAGAGAAAATCCCTTTTTTAATCCAATCGCTCCAATACAGGGTATTTTCAAACAGAGATATCCCAAAAGTGTGCCGCAACATATCTTTATCGCGGTAAAGTTTTCTCCTAAAAAAATCGTCAGTAATATACAATACTATGAAAAAATTGTGAAATGAAAGACAATTGATTGAATTATTTCTAGACCCGTGAAACATTCTGACCTGATAAAACAAATTGCATACATCTCATAGCTTTAATATTTCTTAAAGGTCCACGTGTATCCAAGAATCTTTGCGCGATTGTCATCACAAGAGAAAATTTGAAAAAGAAACGATAACAAAGGTTTTTGGATACACGTGGTTCTTAAGATCATACACACAAACTATTTTTTTCTTTGCAATATATCCTTAACGCTAAAACTATTGAATACTTTTGGACATTTGCTCCGGCTTCCAAGCTGAAAAAAATGGTTCTGGTTTCGTTAAAAGTCTTGATCTCAAAACTTTGCTCAATTTTGCTCATCAGATGCATCTCTAAGTGGAGACTTGCGCATTCTAAACTGGTTTAAACCAGTACTAAACCAGTTAATATCCATATAATTATCCACAACAATTTTGGCCATGAGATGCATCTGTAAATACAGACTTGCGCATTCTAAACTGGTTTAAACCAGTGCTAAACAAGTTAATATGCATATAATTAACCACAACAATTTTGGCCATCAGATGCATCTACAAGTACAGACTTGCGCATTCTAAACTGGTTTAAACCAGTACTAAACAAGTTAATATGCATGTAATTATCAACAACCTTGGATAACGACTCATCAAAGAAGAGGATTTAAAAATTCCTCCTTCAG